GGGATCCGTATTCGGTTTCCCCATCGGGATCCATCTACAGAATCCCAATCGGGATCCGTATTCGATTTCCCCATCGGGATTCATATTCGGTTTCCCCATAGGGATCCCGCATAAACGCGAACCATCACATGACCTTACCGATAATGGTTATAAATTGTTTATAATCCCTGCTAAACTTCAACTGAAATGGTTATGGAACTTTACATGAACGTTTAATGATAAAGTTTTAACCTTAAGTATTATAGTTTTTTGGAAGTGGACCTTACAAATAATGGGTTGTTAAGAACCATTACCATTCAAAATTCTTGTTTTCTCCATACATTTTCGGAAAGAGAACTATATTAGAACGTTTTTACTTATGGTTTGAGAACATTAATGGTTATGGTTATGGTAGTCAGTAAGGTCCATTAATGGTTTTGTATTATCGCTCAACTTTACGTGAAATATATCGTGAATTGGTAATCAGTAATTTACAGGCAACCAATTCGCGATATATTCCACATAAAGTTGATCGATGTTACAAAACCATTCATGGACCTTACTGGTTACCATAACCATTACCATTAATGTTCTCAAACCATAAGTTAAAAGGTTTTAGTATAGTTTTCTTTCCGAAAATGTATGGAGAAAACAAGAATTTTGAATGGTAATGGTTCTTAACAACCCATTATTTGTAAGGTCCACTTCCAAAAAACTATAATACTTAAGGTTAAAACTTTATCATTAAACGTTCATGTAAAGTTCCATAACCATTTCAGTTGAAGTTTAGCAGGGATTATAAACAATTTATAACCATTATCGGTAAGGTCAATTTATGGTTCGCGCTTATGCGGGATCCGACTACGGAATCCCCATCAAGACCCGTATTAGGTTTCCCCATCGGGATCCGTATTCGGTTTCCCCATCGGGATCCGTCTACGGAATCCCCATCAAGACCCGTATTCGGTTTCCCCATCAGGATACGTATTCAGTTTCCCCATCAAGATCCGTATTCGGTTTCCCCATCGGGATCCGTATTCGGTTTCCCCATCAGGATACGTATTCAGTTTCCCAATCAAGATCCGTATTCGGTTTCCCCAACGGGATTCGTATTCGGTTTCCCATCGGGATCCGTCTACGGAATCCCCATCGGGATCCGTCTACGGAATCCCCATCGGGATCCGTCTACGGAATCCCCATCAGGATCCGTATTCGGTTTCCCCATCGGGATCCATCTACAGAATCCCAATCGGGATCCGTATTCGATTTCCCCATCGGGATTCATATTCGGTTTCCCCATAGGGATCCGACTACGGAATCCCCATCAAGACCCGTATTAGGTTTCCCCATCGGGATCCGTATTCGGTTCCCCCATCGGGATCCGTCTACGGAATCCCCATCAAGACCCGTATTCGGTTTCCCCATCAGGATACGTACTCAGTTTCCCCATCAAGATCCGTATTCGGTTTCCCCATCGGGATCCGTATTCGGTTTCCCCATCAGGATACGTATTCAGTTTCCCAATCAAGATCCGTATTCGGTTTCCCCAACGGGATTCGTATTCGGTTTCCCATCGGGATCCGTCTACGGAATCCCCATCGGGATCCGTCTACGGAATCCCCATCGGGATCCGTATTTGGTTTCCCCATCGGGATCCGTATTCGGTTTCCCCATCAGGATACGTATTCAGTTTCCCAATCAAGATCCGTATTCGGTTTCCCCAACGGGATTCGTATTCGGTTTCCCATCGGGATCCGTCTAGGGAATCCCCATCGGGATCCGTATTTGGTTTCCCCATCGGGATCCGTATTCGGTTTCCCCATCGGGATCCGTATTCGGTTTCCCCATCGGGATCCGTCTACGGAATACCCATCGGGATCCGTATTTGGTTTCCCCATCGGGATCCGTATTCGGTTTCCCCATCGGGATCTGTCTATGGAACCCGTCATCGGGATCCGTCTACGGAACCCGTTATCGGGATCCGTTTACGGAACCCGTCATCGGGATCCACCTACGGAACCCGTCATCGGGATCCGTAGCTTTCAGTATTTATTTATTCGTCAATCAAAACAAATAAACAGTAAACACACTCACTAACCTGCAAAGAGAACTTTGAACTCCCCGCCGGGATCCAGCTTCGGACTCGCTACCGGTATGTGGCTCCGGACTGGTGCACTTTCCTAAAAAAAAAACATAATTACATTACATTAATTCACCTCAAAAACAGCCCACATACCTGAAAAACAGCCTTCCTTTTCCTAGGGTGAGACCAGCAGCCAGCAAGCGGAAAACTTGCTGATTAACCGCAACGTCGGACACCGAATCGCCACCAAAACTCGCGACGAACACAACGGCACTTTCCCGGACTAATTCGATCGAAATCGATCTTTTAACACCGCAAAAAAAAAACTGTACACGGCCAATGTGATCAACCCAAATTTGAATACAGTGTACTCAAAATCGCAAAAAGTGCAGGAACGCAGCGATGAGTAAATTTGCCTCATGTTTTCCTGTGGAAAACCTCAAAAATCTTACGGAAAATTAGGATTGACGAAAATCCACAGAATCCAATCTTTACTTTTCTAATATTCGGACAAATTTTCCTGGAAAAACCTGGAAATCCTGGAAAAAACAGAGGGAAATTAACTCAAAACTGAGTTCCTGTACTTTTTGCGATTTATGAGTGAACTAAACTCAAATTTGGGTTATTCTCATTCGCCGTGTAGTGCTGACTCAGGACAAAACAAACTTTGCATGGGCCGAGGGCCTCAGGGACTCTAGTTTTCTTTTTGCGATTCAGCTAATAACGCGAGTCATTGACAGGTCAACATCAGTGGTTTGTAATGGAACGTCCATCTGACACCTACACCCTGAATAATTTTGGTATACGCTAATGCAGCAGCGATATATAGAGCTTTACTTCAAAATGAGAACGACATTGACCTTTCTGTTGTTCAAAACACGCACACTTGCGCAATCCCATTTTCAAGTGCGAAGTTTGTTATCCTCACTTTCGCTTCAGCCAGATATGCTGGTTTGTTATTGTTATCCTCACATTCGGACCATCAATACTCGAGCGCATAGAATGGACCGAGGAATGGACTATAACCATATGCATGCAGGGTGGCCAGATGATTTTCTTCGTTTGCCTTGGAATTAATATTATCGTTTCAAATGAAAACCTCGTTGAAAACGTTCTGTATATACGTTAAACATACGTACACGGATGCGGTATACAGCACACTATGGCCAACGTTATGTTTAACGTACAGAACAAAAGTAAAATCGGTTTTCAATTGAAACGATAATAATCAATTAAAACACTAATTAACTCTTGCACTGCAACGTCACCAGGGCATTTGTTTTACTTACAAATAAACATTGCCCACAGGGCATGCCAAAATTTCTTTCAGTGATTTGAGGCTATGTCAGTCGTGCAAGAGTTAATTGTGGTAAGCTCTACCTTGTAATCGCAATGTGCTATTTTATATGATTGCGTCGAGGATTGCGATTTGGGCACATTTATGAGATTATGAATGCGGAAACACTAATAAAAGTGCGGTTTTACGTTAAATTGTTGTTGTGTCTTCATCGCACTTATTCCTTGGTGAATGAAGAATAAGTGCGCTGAAGGCGTCAAGACGATACAACGTCTAAGTGCACTTTTATTAGCGTTTCCACTCTTCTAAAGAGTTCAATTTTATTTGCAATTGATAATGTCACAAAACTATGCATAGGAGGCATCACTGCACTGCAAGCCACTTTTTATTGTTGTGTCATAGGATGTATTCTAATGTTTTATGCGTGCAACAATTTACATCGTGATGAAGTTTGATTCTAATGTAACGTTAGGCTCTGTTGTCATTGGATGTATTCTGATGTTTTATGCGTGCAACAAATTACATCGTGATGAAGTTTGATTCTAATGTAACGTTAGGTTCTGTTGTCATTGGATGTATTCTGATGTTTTATGCGTGCAACAAATTACATCGTGATGAAGTTTGATTCTTATGTAACGTTTGGTTCTGTTGTCATTGGATGTATTCTGATGTTTTATGCGTGCAACATATTACATCGTTATGAAGTTTGATTCTAATGTAACGTTAGGTTCTGTTGTCATTGGAGGTATTCTGATGTTTTATGCGTGCAACAAATTACATCGTGATGAAGTTTGATTCTAATGTAACGTTAGGTTCTGTTGTTATTGGATGTATTCTGATGTCAAATTTTACATCGTCAAGACGTTTGATTCTGATGTAACGTTAGAGGCTAATGTATTTTTATGTACTTGGACGTCACACTGAAGTCTGAATACATTAAGGGTACAGCAATATACGTTAAAATTTAATGTATTGAAGATGTCTGCTGATGTTTTCTACATTACAATTTCTATTCGGGTCACTGCAATCTGAAAAATTATCGGGAAAATCCACCCAAGAAAAAATCGACTAAGTCCACGTAAACAGTACCACTAAACTGTCATCAGATTGAGGTTAACCCCGACGGTGCAAAACCTAATAGGGCCTTCAGTTGGAATGTGTAATGCTCTCTGCAGAATGGTAGTCATCTTAAATTGAAATTAATTTGGTATTGGCTCAGCCCCTTAACACATGTGTTGCAAATCATTCAAAACGATGATGCAAATGGATCATTGAAGATGCTGAGGTTTTGACAGCACCGTACTGTGGCTACCACAGTATTTTACATTGGTTCGTCCGTATACAGTAGCGCCAAATGAAAACTGTGGTGGGTTCAAAACTCAGCCATCTAAAATGATCCATTATTCTATCGAATGTCATTTGTTGCTCTGAGCAGACAAACGAGGTGCCAACAGCTGTTTCATGTAAAAAGATAAACATTGCAATGAAATACGAACACCACTAAACATTTGCACATTTCACAAACACCAATAAGCTTGTTGGTTGGACCTTATATAAATGACTTTGGATGTCTGTCAAGCGGCGCACACCGCAATATATTTTTTTCATGTGTGGTGGCGTGTTTGCCCTTTTCTCACCTCTCGTGAACGTGAATTTTTCAAAACACTTCACGCAGATCCGAGCGCGGAAGAAAAGTTTTTTTCTTTCGAACTTAAATCCTATTTTCCCTCTCCTGTAAAGATGCTATCCTGCCAGTAAAATAGTGATGCATAGATTTACGGTCATCAGTCGAGTGTGGGCCGAATCGGCTCGCCGGTTAACTACTCATCCAAACTCGCCGAAGGCACAAGGACATCTCCAAATCATCCGACTGGTAAGTGTAATGTTTTGATGATTACACAATCGGTATTATTTTGCGATGTTGAATAATTTTTTTTTTTATTCACAGTACGTTGGTAAAGCCCCCATAAGCCAGACCAACCTAACCGCATCGAAAGCATTGTTGTCCGACGATAAGAATGTATCGGAGAACAAGGCTCCACAAGTGGTGCCACTGGCGGTTCCGGTAATCCTTCCACCGTCGCTGGATCCCAAAGAAATAGTCAATGTAATTAGTAAATCAGTAAACTTGGCCACGACGGATGGCAGTATCAGTGGGAAGCCAAAGAATGAGGAAGTGGTCGCTTCCATTACGTCCCTGCCCGGCTTTAGCCGGTTGATTTACCACTATATGATGTTGTCGAAGATTCGATTGACTTGTAAGTGATTGGATTTTCCATTAATTGGGAATTGGGGATAATTTGTATGAACGTGATTCTTTTCCGCAGCTTTGGTGGTAATGACCACGATGGCCGGGTATGCAATGGCTCCAGCACCGTTTGAGTTGTCCACATTCCTGCTTTGTTCGGTGGGTACGACTCTCGTATCGGGAGCGGCCAATTCCATCAACCAGGTGATCGAAACGTCCTTCGATGCGCAAATGCCCCGAACCAAGAATCGAGTGCTGGTGAAAGGTCATTTGAGGTAAAATCTGTTGTATTTTAGTAAAAACTAGACGCTAACTAAATGATTTTATGTTAATAGCCGTCTGCACGCGGTTGGATTTGCGCTGGGCGCAAGTACGATCGGTGTTGGAATGTTGTATTGCGGTGTAAACGAGCTGACGGCCTTTCTGGGAGCGGCTAATCTAATTCTCTACACCAGCATCTACACCCCAATGAAGCGATACAGTATTCTGAACACATGGGTAGGTTCGCTCGTTGGTGGCATACCTCCGCTGATGGGCTGGGCTGCTTGTACCGGAGATATAGGTGTTGGAGCGTGGATCCTCGCTGGATTGCTGTACTGTTGGCAGTTTCCCCATTTCAACGCCCTTTCCTGGAACATTCGTCCGGAATATCTTAAAGCGGGTTACAAAATGATGGCCAATTCCCATCCCGAGCTTTGCACACGAGTTTCGTTGCGACATACAGGATATATCACGGCGCTATCCCTCCTCGCACCGGCACTCGATGTAACAAACGTTTGGTTTGCCGTTGAATCGCTGCCATTGAATGCTTACTTCGCGTACCTTGCCTGGGATTTCCAGCAGAAAGCCGACAGTAAAAGCTCCCGGAAGTTATTCAGGTTCTCTTTGCTTCACTTGCCTATCCTGATGGGGTTGTTTCTACTTAACAAAAAGGAATGGATTTTCTCGAAGGAGAAAACTACCGAAGAAACCGTGGCTGCCATAGTATCGGAGGAAATCACCGATGGAGAGCTTGTCGGAGAGAGTAAGGACGAGTATTTGGTACCAACTATTGTTGCTGAAGTTGGAAATCTTGGCAGCATCAAAGCGATCGAGGACAACCTATTGACGAACGTGGTCAGCGTTCTCCCGGTAACCGCCGCTGGCAAGCAGAAGCTGTGAGTGCTGAGATAAATTATATTTTAAATACCTACTGTTACAGTAATTGTTAACGATACAAATAAACTCCAATGATTGGACACAACCTCGTCCCGAAAATACCAGAAAACCCGCCTTTCCAAGACACACGGAAGTCATCGTAATACACACTGACACAATTCAAATATTATAACCATCGTCTTATAAAGTACTACAGGCAAATTACAGCTTGATGTGCGTGGCTTGCATCCCCGCACTGGCACCGTTTTTCTTGCCCTTCTTCCGACCGGGATCCGTTTTGCTCTTGATCTGGGAACTGACTTCGTCCTGCAGCTGCGAGAAGAATGCAGTCGACGACTTGGCCACTCCCTTGGTTTCGATCATGGTGCTGACGTTCTTCGCCTGCGATACCTTCTTCAAAAGCTTCTCCTGCAAGTCCTTGCCCTTCGGTACGACTCCCTTCGCTAGCAATTTCTGTTCCTTTTCTGCTTGCCGTTGGAATTTGTCCTTCTGGAAGCGTTTCTTCAACCGGCGTTCGCGGTTCTTATCCGTTTTAGAACGTTCGCCTTTGCTCATAACGGCACCCTTCGGTCGGTTGTGTACCTCTTCTGGGGCCAGCAATGTGGCATTGCTCGTGGCCACCGGTGCGACTTCTTCCATATTGATGGCCGGAGTATTGGTGATGATCTTCAGGTCTGGGACAGCTGGGCGTGGAGTGTAGTGGAAGTTCGAAAGGGCATCCAGCTGGGCGAGCAATGTTTTCATCATAATCCGTATTTCCTTGTGCTCTTTAGGTTCTTCCTCTTCCGTTTCCTGAGCGTCCGGATTGGCATCCTTCAGCTGCTTCAGATAGTCCTTCTCGTAGATTTGAGCCAGCGATTCTTTACTTTTCTCCGAATCAACTACCAACTGTTTGCGGTATTCCCGGGGATTGTCCGGCGGACGTACCTTTCGCTCTACGTCGTCGAAGGCCTTGTTTTTGATTCGCTGCTTGATGATATCCTCGAGACGCATCGTGGTTTCTTCAGTCACTACCGGCGCTGGACGGGTAGTGGATTCAAATTCCAGCACTTCCTCCAGTAGCGAGTTCTGCGGCCGAGTGTCGGCAGAAATTTCTCCCTTCAGTTGCCAAGGCTTATCTTGCAACAGCTGACCTTCCATTTTTTGGATCTTCTGATGTAGTTTTTCTTGCCTCAGTTCAAAGGACGATTTGGGACCCTCTTCTTTTTCTTCCTTTTCCATTTGTTCTTCTTCGCTTTCGTCTTCTACTGGTTCTGGTAGCGGAAGGTCAGTCTTTTTGATAGCACTTCCCGGTATAAAGTCGCCGGAGCTATTATACAATTCGAATCTTAATCGTCTATTGCGCTCCATTTCATCCTCAGAGTCCTCTTCATTAGCGACGGCTTCCGAACCACCCTCTTCGCTGTCCATTATTTCGCCCTGTTCTTCATCATTTATGCCACCGTCTTCTCCTTCATCAGAACCGCCCTCACTTTCATCATCGTCCTTGTCTTTCTCATCACCATCATCATCGAAGAAATCAGAATATTTCATATCCTCGGCCTCGCTGTCTTCATCTTTTCCGACGTCCGCACTGAAGTAATCGATCTCGATCAAAGGATTCTTTTCGGGCTTACCGTCCTGTCGCCTCTCTTCCCGTGCATCCTCTTCATCCAGAAATCTGGCCATGTCTTCCAGCTTGAAGAATTCATCATCTACAATTGATTTCCTGCTCTTATTCTTTGTTTTGCCCTTAACTTTGTCCTTTTTCTTTCGTTGCGGAACCTCTTCTTCTTTTTCCTCGAGTCCATTCTCGCTTCCCATCTCATCATCTTCCGATTGATCTTCCTCTAATTCTTCACCGTCATCACCACCAGCACTGAAGGCAAGCTGCAGTCGTTTCTCACTTGCCGAAAGCAGCTTAGACGTTTTGATAAGATCATTCCCTAGAAGTTGTTCATTTTTCAACTCCAGCTGCTGCCAAATCTGCTCCTCGTCCATTTCTTCCACGATCAACTCGTCAAGATAGGGCTTCTGCTCCACGACCGCTTCCAAATCCAGCTCCTGTCCATGATCGTACAGCAATTTTACAAGTGCCTTGATCTTTTCTGCTCGCACCGTCTGGGCTCTGCAAAAGAAAACAAAATCCAAAGTAGGATCGTAACGTGCACCCGACCTTCAAATTCCAGTACTCACGTTAGGAAGACTTCCGGATTTTTCGTGTGTTCACGAAACTTTTTCAAGGCTGATTTCAATCCTTTCTTCCTTTCGTCCATTGAGCCGTTTAATTCCTTTACCATTTTGTCTGCTGATATGGATTGACTTACCGATCCGAAGAAAACGTCTTAGGGGTAGAAATAGTGTATTGGAATAGGTATTTGCATTTATTTATTACAAATCCCACATTATTTCAGCCACAGAGATAGATTGCCAGAAAAATGCAATGCGTTCGCCGAAACTCGCGTGTTTTTATTTTGACATTTCTTCAAAGGTAAACAAACACATTGCTGTCAATAAAAAAGAATGGCATCGATGCACCCCTCAGAGATGGGTTCGGGTTACACCGTCAATGAAATCTTCCCTCACAGAAAATGAAAATTACCCAAAGCTTGAGTTTAAACAACCCAAAATTAAGTAAAGTATCCCATTGGGTAAAAATCAGTGTTATGATGGTTAATTTTAACTCAACGGTTGAGTAATACGTATATTACCTAGAGATGAGTAAAAAACATACGGAACTTTTGTGGGCCTCAATTTACTCAACGCTGAGTAACTTACTATAAAGCTTGTGTTGAGTGAAAATAACTCTGAGTTGGATGAAAAAATATTTCCACGACGACGCCATTTGTGATTTTGCTCCCTTCGAATGAAGTGTTCAATCGCGTGCGACGTCTGGAAGTTTTCTACCGCCATCAGTTTTGTTATTCCTCCATTGAGTGGTCGATTTATTACTTAAAACGCGAGTGGTTATTTATCCTTTTACATAGAAGTACCCGACGAGAAGAAAATCTTTTATTTTTTTCGTTCCACCTGGATTCTTAGTGAAGTTTCCTGTGGCTGTTCCATTCTCCTTCGACACCTTCGGTTGTTTGGTTCCGAATCCGTTGTGTATTGCCATACACCGACGTAATCTGGTGAGTTGTGAATCCTAAGCGCTAGTGGAGCGCAGATAATTAATTTCATTTCTGTTGTGTTCTTTTATTTTTAGGTATCCGGTACCTACAGCTTCCAGCACAACATCAGTTTCTTGATTTCCGTCCGTTTTTTTAACTTGGTTCCTCACGGTGGCGTCCGTATAAAGATGGAACAATTAAAGAATATGGTGGATGATGGAAGCTTTGTTCAGTTAGCATAATATTTTATTTGATTTGTTCGTTGTGTTTATTTTTATTTATTTATTTATTTATTTATTTATTTAACGGTTGAATGAATGACAATAAATATGTTGTTGTCGTCACGGTTTTTATTGTTCTTTATTTTTGACATCTATTCCGGATTACGTGCTCGTAATTAAAAATCCCGGTGAAATAACCCATGTGTTCGGATCTTATGTAGAAAAAACTTCTTCACAGCAGCCTTTTGCGTTTAGCAGCTTGAAGCTGAAATCAGATAAGATTTTTAATGTATTGTGTCAGTGTTACAATTTTAATCTTACAATTTTAGTTTCTTCCTTTCCTCCTGCAGGCAATCGGCGCAGCAAGTACTACTTTTAGGTCCACCCGGCTTCAAGACAATCTAGATTTTACAATTATTTTGGGTATATGAATAAATGATTTTGTTCTATTGGATACTAACCTAGATTTTGTAAATCAAAAACGCTCGACGTGGACGCTAATCAAATAGCCTTTAAATATTGATATTTCCCTAAATTAGTGTTTATTTTTATTGTTGTTGTTCAAACATAAATTATAAGGTTTTACTTACTTCAGTTAGTTTTAAGACAATTTAGCAATTTTCAATTCAAACTGTGAAAAATGTAGTTTAACTAGGATAGCTTCTAACAAATTGAACCAATTATTCCGAATCGTGACTTGCTTCTGTCCTATTCTTCTATCTGACGTTTTCAACTTGATAGACGTCACGACCGAAGTTAAGTTGCCGGCGATCCCTCGTGAAAGTTTTATTTATTGCAGCTGCCCAGTGACGTTGTACGCAACAAATCCCCGACCTGTAAACCCGATCCCGAATCATCCACTGGATCTGGATTACCATCAGAAATCTCCAGTACCGCCAACTTGGCAGTTGCCCGTTTAAACACTCCGCTGTTAGTCCGTACCATAGCCTGACGTACCCGTCCGTCACTGGACACGATAGGTTCTTCGACCACTCCTCGCACCCAAGCCTTTCGGCGATCTCCTTCAACGACGTACACCAAGTCACCCTTCTGCAACTGCTGCGATTCCCCAAACCATTTCGTTCGCTTATTGATGGTAGGAACGTATTCCCTTATCCAGCGCTTCCACATTTCATTTGATAGTTGCTGAGACCGTTTGTACGAGTCTCGTAGAGCCTGAGCTATATTCGTTGGTGGCACACTTTCTTGCGGTTCATTTGGCGCCGTCCCACGCAGGAAATGATTTGGAGTGATTGCAATTTCTGAGGAACTCTGAGGAACGAACATAAGAGGCCGACTATTTATCATATCTTCTGCCTCGGAGAGAGTGGTCAGAAGAATCTCGTCGGACAGTTTTCGCCCGTCATCCAATGCTGCCATCGACTGCTTCACTGTGCGCACCATTCTCTCCCAAACCCCACCCATATGAGGGGCGGAAGGGGGATTGAAGTGCCAGCAGGTTCGTGCACTGGTGAACTCTTCTGCGCATTCCTTATTCATTTCTCGAATCTGCTGTAGGATTTCTTTGCTGGCTGCCTTTAGGTTAGTGCCGTTATCAGAAAAGTACTCTGCTGCAGGGCCCCGTCGACATATGAAACGACGAATAGCCATAATACACGATTGAGCGGTAAGACTATATGCTATCTCTAGATGAATAGCACGAACCACCATACAGGTGAACACCACAATCCAACGTTTCTCCGAGTGTCGTCCGACCGTAACTTCCACCGGACCAAGATAGTCGACTCCAACATATGTAAACGGTCGCTGATATGGAGTCAACCGTTGCACCGGGAGTGCAGCCATCCGAGGCATACTTGGTCGATTCTTCTTCACCTTACACCAGACACATCCTTTCTCCACTTTTGTGATGAGCGAACTAAGCTTTGGAATTAAGAACCGCTGTTTGATCTCGTTCTTCACAGTCTCTCGGAAAGCGTGCCCAAACCTTTCGTGGAAACTACGTACTAGTTTCTCCGTGATAGTGCTGTCGCGTGGCAGTATTATCGGGAATCGTAAATCGAACGGAAAATGTTCGGCATTAGCACTTCGTCCTTCCAATCGAAGCACACCAGACGCATCTATAAGTGGTGTATATTCATATAGCTTACTTGACTTCTCTAGCGGAATCCAATCTTTGCGTTCCAGTTGTTGATTCTTCCGTAGTGTCTTGATTTCGTCACCGAACGATTCGCCTTGTGCCATCTTGAACAAAACCTCCTCTGCCTTCTGAAACTCTGCTTGTCGTAGGGGAATTCTAACCGAAGGAATTCTGGTCATAATCCACCTTTCTTGAGACGCCGTAGGTTGTAAGGTTTCGATAGGTTGTCTACGAGCCTTCAGCCGACAATTCGACACGAATCTGAAGAGGCAAGCTACTGTTCGCACAAATACATTCCATTTCGAAATGTTGTTAGCGTTGACGAACGGTTTCACCAGGGCGATGTCATGGAACAAGAACATGGCTCTCAGTTCTGTTTTCGTGTTTGGCGGAGGGAGTGCTTGTTGCGGCCATGTTTGTAGTGACATGTACAGAAATTCTGGCCCCCGAAACCATGGACTTGTGGAATGTAGTCCAGGATAGCGCCCCCACTTAGTTAGACAATCAGAAATGTTCAGTTTAGAGGGTATCCAGCGCCAATCTAACAAGTTGGTTAGGCTTAATATTTCACCGATTCTGAAGCCGACGAACTGTTTATATTTTCGCTGGTCTGAACGGATCCAGGAGAGAACAGTTTGTGAATCGCTCCAAAAGAAAATTTGCTGAATCTCAAGGGAATGAATTTGTCGAATATTTTTCGACATGCGTGCTGCCAGTACCGCTGCTTGCAGTTCTAAACGAGGAATAGTAAGCTGTTTCAGCGGGGCTACCTTGGATCGGGCCATCACCAAAGAACATCGTACTTCCCCATCGACATCAATCCGTAGCAAACCAGCACAACCAAATGCATTTTCACCTGCGTCACAAAACAGGTGTAGCTGAATCGGTCTAAAACAATCCGACTGGATACTCCCGAAGTAGGACCTTGGAATCTTTACCTGCTCTATTTCCGGTAACATGCTCATCCATAGATTCCACTTGTTCAGCGATTCCTCATCGATAGCTTCATCCCATTCACATCCCGTACGCCAAAGATCTTGGATCAACATCTTTCCCAGCACAGTAAAAGGTGCCAGCAGACCCAACGGATCGAAGAGAGACATTACCGTACTGAGAACTTCTCTTTTGGTAGGACGCTCTAGCCTTACGTTACGGAATGGAACCGAGCATGACAGCATGAGGTGAATCATATTATTTAACCTTGACTCACCTAGATGCCGCAATACGTCATCGGAGTTTGATGCCCAGTTCCGAATTTCAAAGCCGGCCTTCGAGTGGATAAAACGAACTTCTTTAGCTCGCCGTATAGCTTCTTCCTCAGTATCTACGCTGTCATAATAATCGTCGACATAATGTCGTTCGACAATTGCCTTTGATGCTTCCGGAAACTGATCTGCAAACTCCTGGGCATTGAGGTTTTTTATATATTGTGCTGAACACGGGGAGCACGTAGACCCGAAAGTGGCAACGTCCATAACATATACATCGGGCGGATGATTTGTATCGAAACGGAACAGAAACCACTGTGCTGATTTATCTGCCTCTCTGATGAGCATTTGGTGGTACATTTCCCGCACGTCACCACCAAAGGCAACCGGTTTTTCGCGGAACTTACAGATCACAGCAGGGAGTGAAGCTAACATGTCGGGACCCTTGAGCAAATTGGAATTTAGCGACACTCCATTAACTGTTGCCGCAGCATCCCATATCAGGCGCACCTTTTCTGGCTTTTTGGGATTCAAAACGACGTTCAGCGGTAGATACCACACTCTAGTGCAATCTGCCGCTGCCAGCTCGGCATCCGTTGCCTTATGACAATATCTTTTTTCCTGGTACTCCTTTATCTGCCGAAAGACATTCGTTCGCAGTTCTGGATTTTTGGAGAGTCGCCGTTCTAACGCTTTCAGTCGTTTCGTTGCCATAGGGAAACTGTCCGGAAATGTAGGATTGTCATACTTCCAGATTAGCCCGGTCTCGAAGCGTTCTCCTACGCGCACTGTGGTATTCCGCAAAATCTCCCGAGCTCGTCGGTCTTCGTCCGACTCTAGGATTGGTACAGTCGCCGTACAAGACTCCTCCAGAGTATACTGTGAACCCAACAGTTCATGGAGTTCCTTATTGCTCACGGTTTCGATCCCATGGTGGTTGACGAAGGCCTTAGCTGAAGTTCTTTCTTGATCTGTTCCATACACCGTCCAACCGAGAATGGAGCGAACCGCAATCGGCTCGCCAGGTGCACCGACTCTAGACTCCAAAGGTGCGAAAAGGTGTAAATTGTCCAATCCTATCAGCACCCTCGGTGCTTCTCCATGATAGTCTACGACTGGAAGGTTCAGCAGATGTCCGTAACGTTCTGCGATCTCGTCAAATCGAATGCTTTGTTGAGGTAATAAAAGTTCTCTAACGGTACGCGCATGCGAAAGTTGATGCTTAGTCGTACTTTCCCTGGCGGATATCGATAGGTTCAATCTAATCGACTGATCTTCGTGCCGCTTCATGTTTGCTGTCCATACTACCACCAACGGCTCCGGTACACCTTCGGCGTTGAGTTCATCCACTAGAGCGTTCTCCACCAGCGTAGCAGATGCACCTTCGTCCAAAAAGGCAACGGTGTCCACTGCGTATACACCGTAATACAGCGTGATCGGGATCATTCGAAAAATGACAGATCCTGTCCGAAGGTGAGTGTTGCATTCGACGTGAGCTACTTGGATGACTTCTTCGGCTCGATGTAGTAGCGGGTGGTGTCCACCTTTGCAATTATCGATGTTGCAGCGGACATTGAACGTGCACCGCGTTTTTCCGTGGTCATTTAGGCACGTTGTGCAGAGCTTATACTTCTCCACAATCTTCATCCGATTTTGCAAGCCGAGCTTAGCAAAGTCGTCGCAAAACCTCACCTTGTGATCGGTTCTCCTGCAGACCACGCATGGCAATCTTGCTTTCTGATGTGATGAAGGCTGTCTTCTGTTTAGCCGCATACTTTGTGCATCATGAGTGTGCACATATTCCTTCTTCTTCGACTTATTTCTCGCAGGGTCAGTCGAGGGCTCAGCTCCGATGAAGTCTGTTACTTCCGAAACCTCAGACACGATTTCGTTAGTAAAATCTGTGAATATCCTGAGCGGAGTTCCAATCTTTCCCCGCTTAAATCGTACCCAATCTAGCTTGTACTCCGACGGAAGTTTGCTGACCAGCTCTTGTACCAGCATTGGGTTACATACACGGACAGAAAATTGTTTGCATTGAACCAAAAAAACCTTTAATTGTATTTAAGCAAACAATTCCAGTTGAAATTATATTGCTTTTTGTTGTTTCAATAATACTTATTCATATAAATTCAAAATAGGATTCTTTTTGTTTTAAATAGCCACTTTTCAAATGCAACTATTGTAAAAATAACAATATTCTATTATTAAGCCAACAATAGTTAATTTTAATTATTTTCTGTGTCCATTCTCTGGGCCATGAAAGCAAAAATAACTACCAACCATTCCCTCGTTTTCACCCGGACAAAAATGTAAACAATAACAATACTTACGCGGTCCACGTAAGTATTGATTTTAATTGTAAATTTCGGGAAATAAGTGCAAGATTTTCGAAAATCTTGAGACTTGAGTTAAGTAAGTATGCTGCAATTCGAGCTGCAGTTGATAAATATAATCAATTTTTCTGTTGTTTTTTTTCCTTTATTTTTTTTCCGTCGATCTTGTTTTCCGTACTGAGTACCAATGCTCCCGACGCCAGGAAGGCAGCTCCCACATCTGGACCCTACATATCGACCCATCAACTCATGAACCGGGGGCTTTTATTTTATGCCTCAGAAATTCAATTACAATTTCTGCAATTTAGTTTCAAAATGAAAACGAAACATAAAAAAAATTGCCATAATATTATTATTTTTACATCAATAAACACATTTTTATTTCTACTGCGTGAATTGTCAGACTTTATAAAATAAATATGATTGAATCAACAAGAAATCTCTTTTAAAAACAATTTTGACAGCTTACGTCAAAACCATGAAAGCTCTTGTAAATTCTAAAAGATTTTCTTTTTGATTTAACAATCCATGGGTTTTTAGAAACAAAAATACTGGATTGTTGAAACAATAATGATTTCTTTTTGCAGCCAAAACAAAATGAAATTCTTATTGATTTTACGTCAAATATTATTACTTTTAAAATATTTTTTTCTGCGTGTAAATGGTCTTGCAGTCCAGCTGCTTCGAGGTGGTCGCAGAGTTGCTTAACGGTGATCCCGAAGTATAGAAAGGTTTCAAGTTTATCTAATCTCGGTGCTTGTGCCTTACGGACCTTCGCTACTAGCGTCTTGAGTAGCTTTTCCGGATTGCCAAAGAGTTTGCGTAAGTCATCTATTACTTCAGGCACCGAATCAGGTAGCAGTAAGCGGCTTTGGACGGCTTCCTTAGCAAGGCCCTGTAGACTGTCTTGAAGTCTCTTCAAATTATCTGTGTTGGTGAAACCGCATGCAGCTGTGGTGTACTCATAGCAGCTAATAAAAAGAGGCCAAACTTCTGGTTCACCCCTAAAGGTTGGCAAATGTTTCGAGGCCGCTTGTCGTGCGGCCAACTGTGCCTTAGTTGGACCTCTGGCCTGAATCCGTGTTTCTCTTGGTGACCCCGACCTGTTTCGCTTTCGACGGTTCAAAATATCACGGATGGCAGCAAGTTCTTCTTCCGTCCATTCTTCCAGCAACGGTTGCTCCTTTTCATCTTCTTCTTCTTCTTCTGATTCTGCATCTCCTTGGTTGACTTCTGAACCTTTTCCGAAAGCATCCTTCGCCTTTCGGTCAACTAGCTTTATCTTAATAGGAGCTCCAACTTGTGGTTCTTTCGCTTTCGGACGGGCCCCTCTCGAATCTTTCAGCGTAGGTTCCAGCCACTGACGTACTCTATCCAATGAATCACCAGTCTCAG